GTAGCAAATGTTTGACTCTTTACAAACCAAACATGTAGAGCTATGATTCTTTATTTAGATTTAAATAGTGCTTTATTGCAAAGAGGGATATAATGATATCACTTTTGTGGTCTCATTCCTACCTTTATTGAACACCTAATGGATTATTCCTCCGAGGTGCTGAGTACACTTATCCAAAACATGGGTTGTCCCATAACTATAAGTTTTCTAGGCAATTAATGTTCTTCAGATAGAAATTTCCTATCTGTACACCCAACTTGCTATACTCAAAACTTTATTTATGACAAATAGGAAACACACCTTATTTATAAAGTGAAAAATTTATTGTTAGCATAATTGAAATCCTAATGGCCTCATTCAATTATTATTAATTCAGATGTAATTATTACAGAAAGTATATGTTTCTACCATTCTCCTGGTGTTGTGTGCACCTCTCTCACCTCCTTACCTAGACCCCAAAATCAGCAGTCTCACTCAGGTGAGGGGAGTTGGGCTTACAGTGAGTCATCAGCATCGGGTGTCCCTCACCAGGAAGAATACCATGATTATGTTGACAGCTTTTTCTTCATCCCTCTAGGGTTCACTTGGAAGCAAAGCATAAGCAGATTGAAAAATGGTCAAAGAGTGCAAGTCTGACGAGCTTCTGTTCTGAGGTCTTGGAAACTCAGTACAAGTTGTGTACTGTTACAACAGTCACAAGTTGATAATGATCTACGACAGAATTTCAGTTGTTAAAAAAACATTTCTGTTGTCCCAGTGGTTCTTCTGAGGTGTATGTAGAACCCATAATTTTAATCGTATAAAAAGCAGTCACCACAGATTGTTTAAACATCCCTCAAAATACATATAAATAGGAAAAGACAGTAAGTTCAAGTAAACACAAGTTACATAGCTGTTTTTCTGAAACTGTGTGAAAACACTTGGGAGATATGTGAATCAAAGAAATACAGAAAACAACATTATCTGTTTGGACACTTGGAGGCCTCATACCTTAGTGGAAGGCAGAGTTCTCTTGGAAGCTTCTGTAATGACCTTTTCTGCATTATTTATCTCAAGTGATTAAAATACCAGGTTCTCCAACCATTGCTTTAATGAAAATTTACATTCTCCTTAAGTATTAAAAGTAAACCAGTAATAGCTTTACATTTTGAGATTAAATTGTAACAACTGTCCAGATCACAAAATGTGACCAGCCACTCAGCCTCTCTAGGCAATCAATAAAAATCTTTTTCCTGACTCCAGAAATCCTTGAACTTCTAGGATAACAAGTTACTAGCACTAACCAGGGGAAGAAAAACATCCTTCCATGTCAGTGGGTATTTTTATGACAGACAGAGCTCTCATTACAGGTATACTTACATTATACCAGCATATGAGTCTATCTGGCAGTGATTGATTACAGAATTATCTTTTTTCAGTTACATAAGAAAATTCTGGCTGCCAGTGGAGTCAGTTTTAGGGAAGACTGTTTTCCCATGCCTTGGGATGGAACAGATACTTCCAAATTGTTAACAGATGATAACAAGTCATTGGAAGTTACAGGGGAAGGATGAGATGGACAGAACTAAAAATACATGCGTGGGAGAGCAGAGGAATACACAAAGGAGGAGAAATAAACCACAACAGAGAGTTCGTTTGAACTAGACATATTTGACTAGACATTTTCTGTGCAAATCAAAGAGTTCACAGATAGAAAGTTCAGACAATGCATTGGAAAACGTAGGTAGCTCCAGTAGCAGCACCTGGAAGCCTTTTACAAGCTGTCTTGACAGAAGACACTGTTGATTTCAGTGGGAGTGTCCATCCTCTATCACATCCCATATCCACAACCTCACAGCAAATTGTTATTTAATAGTATCCTGTAATTATGTCTAACAGGCCTTTGAATGAAGGAAAATAAAAGAGATATTGTTTCCTGAAAATAGGAAACAGTAAGTGTCAGACTTCTTTTTCTTTTCCATTAAATATTATCATGAAGTTTAGCACTGTTTGCTCTGGAATTCCAAAATACCCTCCAAACTCTGAAACCCAAAGGCATTATGCAGATTTGGCTGAATTTAATCATTTGCAAGCAAGAAAACAGAGCACTGATTTATCAGGAAAGTTTTAAGAATTTCTGTGCAGTTGGGGCATAGATTTATTAGGTCTGAGGGTGTTCTTCATCTTCCTCCCACTCACAGTTTTCTCTCAGTTCTGCTCAGTGTATTACAGAAAAGAATATCAGCTGCACAAGACCCATTCTCTGTTCTGTCATATCCTAGGTCAGAGCTGCAACTGGCAACGAATTTCTAACACACAGAAAGCTACATTTCTTTGATTCCACACAAACATGACAAACTCCTCTCTTTCTAAAAAAGACACATATGTTCATCTGCACATGAATAGCTCTAGACCCTTTTACCCATATCTTAGAAATCTGGGGCATTATATTACCACTGTCATCCTCTGATCCTCATTTTCCACAAATTTCTCAGCCTGCTTCCTTTAAGAAAATTTCTTAGGCTTTGTTTCAGCACAGATGTGGCCTTTTGATTCACCTATATAATTTTTCTGGTTTTGATTTTTTACCTTAGCACCTGGGTCTGGGAAATCCACAACATCTGTGCATACTGGATGGTGAATGAATTGAGTGGAGAAGAAATCTGAGTATATGAAAAATTGGACATGAACCAGCAATTCACATTTGCAGCCCAGAAAGCCAACCTTATTTCTGGGCTGCATAAAGAGCAGCCAGCTGGTCAAGGGGTGTGATTGTCCCCCTCCACTCCCCACTTGTGAGACCCCACCTGGATTCCTGCATGCAGCTCTGGTGCCCTCAGTACAGGAAAGACATGGACCTGATACAGCCAGTACAGAGGAGGGGCACAAAAATTATCAGAGGGCTGGAATAACTTCTCTTTGAGGAAAGGCTGAGAGTGCTGGGGTTATTCAGCCTGGAAAAGAGAAGGCCATGGTGAGAGGTCATTGCAGCCTTCCAGTATTTAAGGGGGCTTATCAGAGAGACATTTTACCAAAAAGTAGTGAGAGGACAAGGGGCAAGAGTTTTAAATGGAAAGAGAGTAGATTTAAAATGGACATAATGAAGAACTTTTCTGCAATGAGGGTGGTGAGGCACTGGAACAGGTTGCCCAGAGAAGCTGTGGGCACTGCATCCCTGGAAGTGTTTAAGGCCAGGATGGATAGGGTTTTGAGCAGCCTGGTCTAGTGGGAGGTGTCCCTACCCATAGCAGGGGTGTTGGAACTAGGTGATTTTTAAAGGTTCCTTCCAACACAAGTTATTCTGTTTTTCTAGGATACATAGATGGAGACTGGTTTCTTAACACAACAAATGATTCTTATGCATGCTGATCAGAAAAACTGACTCAGCAAGCAGCCATCAAAAGGAGGTTAAGTTTCTGCAGCTTCTGTAAAGCATCCCTATCATGGGTTTAAAAAAAAAAAAGTTTTAGTGTCTGGGAAACACTTTATTGAGAAAGAAAATTGTTATTACTTGTAAAGAAAACAGTCTGACCTTTGCTGTCAACTGGGAGGTGCAGTTGACTTTCTCGCTGGACAAGAGTTCTTGCAGAGGGGTCTGGATAGAGTGGAGCACTGGGCAATCACCAATGACATGAAAGTGACAAGTTGAAATGGATTCTGCACCTGAGATAGAGAAAGGCCAGACACAAGTCTAAATTGGGAGAGGGATGGCTGGAGAGCACCCCTGTAGAGGAAGTTTTGGGGTGCTGGTTGGCAGAAGGCTCTGTAGCAGCCACCAACGTACTATGGCAGCCAGGAGGACAACGAACCCCATCCTAGGTGCATCAAACACAGCCATCAAAAGAGGTGACTGTCCCACTGTATTCAGCATTAAGGCAGGGCCTCATCTTGAGTGCTGTGTGCAGGTCTGGGCCCCACCATTTAAGAGCAATGTGAAGGTCCTCAAATGTGTCTGGAGTAGGGCAAGAAACCTGGTGGAAGGACTGGATACCATATCCTGTGAGGAACTGCTACAGACTTTAGGCTTGTCTGGTCTGGTGAAAAGGAGGCTGAAGGGTGACCTCCTTGTCTCCCTACAACTGCCTGAGGAGGGGAAGTGGACAAGGAGGTACTGATCTCTTCTCCCTGGAATATGACATGTGGGAATGGTTGAAAGCTGTATGAGGGGACATTCAGACTTGTCATTAGGAATCATTTTACAGAGAGGGTGGTCAAACCTCGGAACAGGCTTTTTAGAGAAGCTGGCTGAAGCTCTAAGCCTGTCAGTGGGTAAGGGTCATTTGGACAATGCCCTTAACAACATGCTTTAACTTTTGGTCAGCTCTGGAGTGCTCAGGCAGTTGGGCGAGATGATTGCTGTTGGTTCCTTCCAACTGGAACTACTCCACTGTAACTCTCTACGTTCTGTTTCAATACACGTAAATGTAGCCTAGCAATTGACACTGTCACACCACCACTGCAATCGTCTTTTCTCTTGAAGCTGAGGCTGAACGCTTCTCTCGGTCTCCTCATTAAGGACAGCTGGGCTCTGGCACTGTCACTTAGTAAACAGGCTGGCCTGAGGACTGCAAGTCACACTCACGCATTCCTCCGCTGGGTTTTCCTTAAGGCAGGGATAAATTACTGAAAAGGAGTGTCTGAGGGAACGCCTTCCCAGGAACCGACTCGTTTCGGTGTCGGGACCATACCCTGGTAGAGGCTCCGGGCCGCCCTTGCTCTCCCGCCCGCGAGGAGAACCCGCGCCACCCGGAGGAGCGGCCGGGCGGGCACCCGGCTACGGCCAGACTCATCTACCGACACTTTTAAACTCTGAGTTTCAATTCAAAACACACAGGCAGGGAGCGCACACGCAGAGGCAGCAGCTGCCAGCCCTGTCGAGACAACCTCGTCCCAACCACGCTTTCGATCCCCCGTTCGGCGAACCCGGCGGATGCGGAGCTCGGAGCCGGGAGCGATCCCTCCCAGCGCCCGCCCGCCCCCTGCCCTTTGCCCCCGCCGCTGTCCCAGCGCTTCCTGTTCCCAACCACGTGGGCAGCGGGATGGCGGGCGAGGCGCAGTGCCTCAGCTACGCGGGATGCAACTTCCTGCGGCAGCGCCTGGTGCTGGCCACGCTTAGCGGGCGTCCGCTGAAGATCCGCAAGATCCGCGCCAAGGAGGAGGATCCTGGGCTCCGCGGTGAGCGGCAGCTGCGGGGGAGGAGGTCGGGTCGGGGGGCGGCGGAGCTCCGGCGCCGGCTGTGCCTGGGACCTGCTGCCGGCAGGGTCAGCCCCGCAGCGGCGGCTGGGGCAGCAGAACCCCCTCTGGCCGGCGAGAATGGGAGCCAGCTGCGGGTCGGTGTCTTCCCGTGGGTGGTCTCTCTTTCCCCTGGGCGCTGTGCACAACTGGTGCGGGCGGCGAGCTGCCGGCGCCGCCTCGGTCGGAGCTGTCACACGTGGGCTTTGGGAGGAGGAGGCGTGGGAGCGGCACAGGGCGGTGTCGGAGGCCGGAGCAGGGAGGCTGTCGCCCACCCGCCGGTCTGTGCCATCCCCATCCCGCCGGCTCGGCTCGGCAGCCCTGCTTTTCCACGAGGTCACGCGTTTCCTCCAGCGCGGGCCCTCGAGGGCCGGTCCGGCCGGCCGGGGTTCCTGCTGCCCCGCCCGAGCCGCCCCGGTGGGACGGGGAGGGCACCGCACCGTCCTCCGCCGTCCCGTCCTGCAGGGGAGCGCCGGTGCGGGAGCAGCCGGGCGTGGTTCTGACCTGTTCGCTGGGTTGTACATGAGCCTCGTTGGCAGACCCGGAGTTGGTTCGTGTCCCCGTGACGGCGGCTCCGCAGTCGGGAGTGGCAGAATAATTCCTCGGCCCTCGGACTGCCGTTTCTGCCGCGTGCCCAAGTATCGTGTGCTCCATCTGTTTGTGGGAGTGTTAATGGGTCTTGTGTTGTGCTTTGATTTTTATTAGGGTTTGTCCAAACAATAAAGGTGAAAGAGGTGGAATCCATTTACTTTTCATTTCTGAAAGCTTCCAACACTGCAGACTGCTTTGAGGGAAACCTTTCTTAGGGAATTCCTTCTTCATTCCTGTACAAGACCTTTGGCATCCCAGGGTGAATTCCATTGTAAACCAAAATGAGAAGACAATAGGATAGAGATTGAGGAAAAAACATTATTGTAGTGTTATTTTTTTTTTTTTTGGCAAGGACCCCTGCTGTGAAGTTCAGAACAGGGATAGATACCACTCTGCCTCCTGAGCAGGCTTCAGATTATAGGTAGAAATTCTCCTCAGAAACTGTCAAAGCATTCTTGTGTACTTGACTTAACATTTACCATGACCTAAAATATTTTTTATCACCATATAGTGGTGAAGTTTGTAGGTTTCCTATATTTTTTTAAAAAGTGTTTGAATTGCCTTTTTCAAGTATGAGTTAAAGTGTAAACTATGACTGTAACAGAAAAATAGTAACAACAAACCCTGATTTGTGCTGGTGATTCAACATGCAGTTCTTTTTGCTTTTCATGACTGGAACATTTGTAAAGAGAACTCTTCTACACATGTTCTCCAAGATTGAAATGAGCTCACAAGGATGCACTCTTGCACTGGAAGAAGCCCCAGTGCTGTCATAAGCTTTATAAACATATAAACTGTCATAAAGTTTAGAAACTGTCAAAACAGAGAGCAGAAACAGTATTGTGTGACTGGGGCATCAGTCATGTTATGGAAATATTGACAATGTAATTTCTGCTATTGTATGTTAGAAGCATACATAGAAAAAAAGTCTGATTACTGTTTAAGAAGTAACACAGGGTTATTGCTAAGGAAGTTCTGCAGTCTACCAACAACTATACAGGGGCTGTTGGCCCTTTAAACTGCTTGTGTTTTGAATGCTGTGTATGTTCATGTGTCTTCCTTGATCTTGAACCTGTTGCGATACCTAAGTACTAGAATACTAGGCTATTCATCCTGAGGTTGGTTTCTTTTGGTTGCTTGTTGTTGTTGTGTTGTTTTGTTTTTGTTTTGTTTCATTTTTGGTTTTAGTTGGTTGGAGGGGGGGTGTGTTTTTGTTTTGGGTTAAATTTAGTTGTCCTTTCCCACATCTCTTGAGCTGGAGCCCACACAAGCAAGAGAACAGCTGTGCAGCAGCAGCACTTCACATGTGAATGACCCCTGCTTTTAGGTTAACACTTTAACACAGAATGATGTGAAGTTGTTACTAACTTGTCATGCTTCAATGTGCAGGATCCAGTTTATTATGAGTTGTATGTTTTGCTTTGCACTGAGCAAAATGTAAATTGTCAGAACTTTTATCCTGGACTGGAGTGATCTCTCAGGCCACTGTGGTCAGAAGTTACCAGTTGGATCATTTGCTGTGTGCCAGGGAGAGGAGTGTGACTAGTCCCAACTGCCACATCTGAGGCCGTCTCAACTGATTTGAGATGCCTATGAGCATGGAGGCTCAAATTAACATCTCTGTTTTTACAGTTAATTGCCTTTTCTCATGTGCTAGAATTATACCACAACTTGAAGAGTGAGGGTATCCTTACAGCTGTGAAAGGCTGGAAAGGGTAAAAAGTATGGTGTTGAACTTCAGGAAACTTTAAAACTCTCTCTGTGTTTTACTCCTTAGATTTTGAAGCAAGTTTTATTCGCCTGATTGACAAAGTGACCAATGGCTCTCGGATTGAAATAAACCAAACAGGTAAGCCCTGTTTTCTCTGCTTTCTCTGTTTTGGTCTTCCAGGCTTTATCAGTTTCTTCAGCGGAATCAGTTTTGTCTTGACAGAGGTAGGTATTCAGATATGATTGACTGAGCAGATCAGAAATAACCAAGCTGAGAAGTTTTGTAGTAATTGGTTGCATGCAAGAAGATCAGCGTTCCACCATATAGCAGAGAACTAAAGAAACTGTATTGCCCAAGAACTAAAATCAGTATGTTGTTTGATATACAGTACTTCCTAGTGGGGGAAGGTTCCTCTGAACCAGAATTGATTTTTGTTGGAGGCAAGGTTTACCCTCTACAAAGATAAACTTCTGAGCAAGAGTGCTTGCTTATTCATGCTTGGAAAAGGGTTTGATTAGAGTGAGAAGCTCCCTATATAACAATTTCATCTGGTTTGGAGTTTTCTTATTTTTAAAGGATTTTAAGAATTGTGGTTGATCAGTAAGGCAGACGAATTACCACCAGATATGCCAAGGCATCAATGAACTGATGAACTGATGGAGATTTCGCTTCTGTGGAGGATAATTATTGCTTGTATCAGCATTTTGGAAATTACTAAGAGATCCTTAGTTTTGTGGGGGAGGGGAAAAGGAGGAGAAATTACGTGCAGGGCAGACAGACACTGGTGTGCATTGACCCATTTACTAACTGTATAAATTCTTTTTCCTCCAATTTGTCTGTATACATTGTTGCAAAGTATGTTTGTGTTGTAGTAATGGCCAATGCTCTTACAGTGCCCTCATTTGGCTTGCTCCCCTGGCATCTTCCCCAGGTACTACTTTGTATTATCAGCCTGGTCTTCTGTACGGAGGCTCGTTGGAACATGACTGCAGCCCCAGTCGTGGCATTGGTTACTATTTGGAAAGTCTGCTGTGCTTGGCACCCTTCATGAAGCATCCACTGAAGATTGTCTTGAGGGGAGTAACAAATGATCAAGTAGACCCTTCGGTAAGTAATAAAGTTTAAGTACCAGAGGAGGATAATTTTCCCCCTGCTAAAAAAAAAAATATTAGGGAGGAGTGTCTAAAACATCCAGAAGTATCCAGTGTTGCTGCATTTACCAGCAAACTCTCTGAATCAAATATGTGCTAAACTGTTGCCTCTCCACATCATGCTTGAAACTGCAGTTTATAATCCACCTTTTGACTTTCAATTCTGTAGTGCTTCTGTCTTCTCCCCTGCAAACTCCTTTTAAATGCACTGTGAGGCCCTGCCAGAGGTTTGGTTCTCCTCTTTTAGAATTTAGGGGGATTATTTTTCCTACCCAACACATGTGTTTACTGTATAAAGAGGAAATTGTCTTTAAAATTTGAATGTGAAAAGGAAGGAATCTTTCTCTTCTGTTGGATTCTGGACGTAGTTATACAGATCTGCTGTGAAGCCTTCTTTCTGTTAGGAACAGAAGTCACGTGGCAATTACAAAATTAAAGTAGCAAAATTATGTAATAACTGATTCTTCAGAAAGATGCTAGCAGTTTTGGCAGATCAAATAACTATGAGATGCTTCCTTTGATTTCTGTTACTGCTGATTTGCAGTTCTTTGTTTTGGTGACATGGGATTAAAACATTGAGGTAATGATTAGTGGTTATGGTTTGGGGGTTTTTTTCCAAAAAATCCCATACATAAGCGTTTGCTTTTGGGGAACGGCACTTCTGTTTACTTTTTGAATGGTGATTGGAGACTGTTTCCCTCCTAGTAGATTAAGGAAACGTTGTAATCTGAAAATTTAGCCAGTTTAAATAAATACAAATACTGTGAAGTATAACTGCAGATATTAGATGAGCCTCTAAGCTGTGCTAGTGTTTATGACTTTTCAGCTGTGCTTTTCTTGTAATTTAAGAATCTTGCTTTCTCACCTGTGGCTATGAGAGACATCCACGTAAGTCAAAGGATGATCAAAGTGGGTTGTACACAGCACTATGAAAAAAAAGGGGAAGCATGTTTTGCTAAGTTTTCAGTCATTCTGTTTAAAAGTCCTTAATATAACTGGTAAGTAATAAGAATCAAAGTCTTTTTTTGTTGACTGTATCTATTTAATCACAATGGAGAAATTCTTGCATAATCTGGAGATGAAGAACAGTCCGGTGTTGATATTGCTTTTGAGTAAGTTTGGACAGTCATCTAAGCAACCAAGTCTCGATTCTGGAAATTCTCTCTTTTTAAGCATCAGTCACGTGGGCCTGAGATTAAACAATTTTAGTGGAAAAGAGTGCAAGAATTTAAGCCAGTTAAGTTTGTGCTTGAAGGGGGCTTGCCCTTGCCAGAGCTCAGGCGCAGGTGTGTTGGTGTACATCAGCTGACCTTTCTGACACTAAATGTAAATAAAATGCATGCTAAAGAGTTACATCTTAAATTCCTTGTGTCATAGTAGCAGCTGCACAGTAGTTGTTAGTGACAGCTAACACTGTCACAACTTCAGTTACTGTGACTCGGCTCACACTTAGTAACTTTTTCAGTGGTAATAACTGAATACCAATTCCTGAAATTGGTTTAAACATGGTTTATGTCTATTTAACTTGCCTAAGTAAACACTAAACCTGATGCCAATAAACTGCTTAAAGGAGCTTTACAAGTTGTTTTGTATAGCATATGGATCTGCAGGCTGCCGAGATTAAAAGCACAAATTTAAGTGCTACCCTAATTGATTTATGTGCTCATGTAAATGGAAGCTTGGTTTTAAATTGATTTGGGCTTTTATTTTTCGGTAGACAGAGGGTGTTTATAAACTGAGTGAACAGTTACTACCTATGCTTGTCCAAAAAGGGATGCTTAAATTTGTCTATCCATCTGTACGCTTTCTGACTTTCCATGGAGAAGGTGAAAAGGCAAACCAATGTGAATATAATGTGAGAGCTTAAAATGGGCAGGTGTTTTCCCTGCTGCTCTTGATGTAAGAACCTCTCAATCTCAGATTAGTAAGTTTGCATGGCCAGGTTTTGGTGAGGGGCTGCTAAAGGGCTGGTTCCTGTAAGAAGCTGCCAGAAGCCCATGCCAGCAGGCTCCAAGACAGACCCACTGCTGGCCAAGGCTGAGCCCATCAGCCTTGGTGGTAGCGCTGCTGGGATAAACATTTTTAAGGGGGAAACAGAGAGTGGGGGGAACTGTGGAGTAACCTGCAGCTGCAAAGAGGTGTGGAAGTACGTGAGAGGAACAGACCTGCACACACCAAGGTCAGTGAAAAAGGAGAGCAGGTGCCTCATGCGCTGGAGCAGAGATTCCCCTGCAGCCCATGATGAAGGCCATGGTGAAGCAGCTGTCCCCGTGCAGTCCCTGGAGGGCAGCAGGAGTTCAGATATCCACCTGCAGCCTGTGCAGGACCCCACGCTGGAGCAGGTAGATGCATGAATGAGGCTGTCACCCCATGGGAAGCCTGTGCTGGAGCAGCATCCTGGCAGGATCTGTGGCCTCATGGAGAGAGGAGCCCACACTGGAGCAGGTTTGCTGGCAAGGGTGTGTGACCCCCTGAGAGACCCACACTGGAGTGGTTCATGAAGAACCGTAGCCAGTGGGAAGGACCCGTGTTGGAAAAGTTCATAGTGGACTGTCTCCCATGGGAAGGATCCCACACTAGTGCAGGGAGGAGTGTGAGGAGCCCTCCCGCAGCAGAGATAATGTGTGATGGATTGACTGCAATCCTTATTCCCTGCCACTTAGTGCTGCTGAAGGGGAGGAGGTAAAGAATCAGAAATAAAGTTAAGTTCAGAAAGAAGAGGATGAAGGTGTTTTTAAAATTTGGTTTTATTTTTCATTACCCTACTCTGACTTGATTGGCAATAAATTCAATTTATTTCCTTGAGTCAGGTCGGTTTTGTTGGGTTTTTTTTCAGCTTTGCACTAGCTAAGGGATCCTAAAAGTTACTTTTCCTCCTCTTTTTTTTTTTTTTAAACTCATGAGCCTTTCATTATATTTTGTTGCCCCTGTCTGGCTGAGGAGGGGAAGTGATAGAACAGCTTTGGTGGCCACCTGGCATTCAGCCAGAGTCTGCCCATCACATAGGGGTGCACTCATCAGCTTTGGAGGATTTTTGTTTATTTGTAAAAGGGATATAATATTTTGTAAAGGTGTCTTTATTTTGGAGCTAGGTGAATTCTGCAGTGTGTCCTTACATGAGTGTATTGAATATCTGTCATTTGCAGATAAATCTACAAATTCATGTATGCTTGTGGGAAATATGTGTGTACATACACACACATATGCACACCCATGATCCTACAGCACCCCATTTGTCCTGTCTCTCCTGAACTGATTGTCTTGGGTAATTCCCTGTTGCTGTTGCTCTGATAAATAATTTTTTTTCACTTCTGGCAATGCTACTGAAGTTTCAGAAGAGGGAAGAGGACAGTCACTGTAATCTTAAGTCAGCAATTAGGAAGAGCAATGTTCAGACCTGAATCTGCTGAGCACCTGGCTCAAAGGGAGTACATTGGTGGTGTATCACCCACATCAGATTCTTTGAAGTGCTTCAAGAGAAGTAATATAGAAGCTTCTGTTTCTCAGAAACAGGTGAAAAGAAGTTCTTGACAGAAGAATGATGTTCTTCCTGCCAAACCAAGGGCCTTCTCTTGCAGTGATGCTTGCAAAAATGCAAAGGTTCTTGCAATAATTTATTTATTTGTAGGAATTTTTAAGTAATGACAGAAGAATGCAATTTTTTCAATGACTGTGTTCAACAAAACAAGTAAGCTGTTTTAGCTGAACCATAATGGAAGTAAAAATCAGGCCAAGAAGAAGCCAGAATAGCAAATTCCATCTTCCAGTAATTTGTTCTAGCAAATTTTGTTAGCAATGAGATACTGTGGCAGTCTAAGAGTAGCTGAAGCTCTCTATGCTGTATTCCCATGTCTTCCCATAGACTAACTTGTATGGAGAAAACTTGTCTTTGTTAGTCACCTCATAATGCAGAGATTTTTAAATTGCGGACTAACATAACTTCCAATAAAGAGTCTGCTTTTTAAATTTTGTGTTGCGTAGGTTGATGTCCTTAAAGCAACAGCTCTACCCCTACTGAAGAAGTTTGGAATTGATGGTGAAAATCTGGAAATCAAGGTAAGACAGTTTGTTCCTTTCTTTTCTAGCACATAATGAAACTCTACTTTTGCACTTCTTCAGAGGGCCACATGTTTGCTCTTGGTTTCTGTCTCTAACAGATATCTTGTGGAAACACACATGTCTTAAATTGCCCCTTATTCTTGACATGTTTTAAATGCCATACCAGCCACACAGTAATTGTAGTAGGAGAGATGCAAAGGCTATGGATATGGGGGTGAGGAGAAAGTAGTGACTTCTCTTAGTCACCAAAGAAGACTAAGAAACCTTTTTACTTTCCTGTTGCTTTTCAGTTAATTTAGTATCTTTTTATTTCTACTCGCTCTTCATGCCCCATGCTTGGGGCTAGGGATTAATAATGGCATCTTTTGCCTTCTTTGCTTTCAGTTTGGAAAACACAGGAAAGAAGCTTTTCTCAAAGACTACACTCTTCACAGGCCCAATAAATCTGGATGTAAAATCATCATGTCACTGTCCTGGGACTGTCAGCCTCTACTCCCGTGGCCCTGCAGCTGGTTTCCAGCTCACCATAGCCCTGCCCTTACACCTGAGCCAGGCCCACTCATAGGCTTGTGTCCCAACTCCATCTTTGTGGGTGTTGACGTGGGATGGTGGATCAGGGTCAGGCTAGACAGGTCTGGTCCCCCTTATACAGAATCACAGAATATTCTGAGTTGAAAGGGACCCACAAGGATCATCAAGTCCAAGTCTTAACTGAAGGACCCCTATGGGGATCAAACCTATGACCTTGGTGTTATTGGCACCGTGCTCTTACCAACTGGACTCAAGCACTTCTAGTCTTTCTTCAGCAGCAAGGTGCAGATTTGCTACTCTTAAGCCAAGGTTGTTTTGGTAAAGATGTTTTTTTGTTTGGTTGGTTTTGCTTTGTTTTCTATTGAGAAGCCATGCCTTACTGTATTTGAGAGAAGATGAAAAAAGAAATCAATGTTTGCTTTTAGTTTTGGTGCAAAATCCATTTCTGCCTTTAGGATGTCTTTTTCTTGCTGCGTTCACATAATGCCCCTAGTTACAACATTTTATTCTATGTGAAATAAAAGCTGTAAGTTTTGGGGTGTGTAGGTACATTCTTTGTACTCTTTACTAACCTGCTTTTTTCCTCCATTATTGTTTCTAGATCAACCGGAGAGGAATGCCTCCCAAAGGAGGTGGAGAGATACTGTTTGCTTGCCCAGTGAGAAAGATCTTGCAGCCTGTTCAGTTTACAGACCCTGGCAAAATCAAGCGTATCAGAGGAACTGCGTATCCTTTTTGTTTGACTGGTTTTCTACTTTTAAATAATTTTGCCCAAAAAAAAGAAGTCTCCTAACATGAAGTCAGAGGAATGCACCGTGTTGTTGAACATGTATCCAGGTAACACAGGATACCATTACACAGAGGAGTCACACAAGTAGATTTCAGGACAGTGTCTCAAAACTGCTGTGTTCAGAACATTGCTGTTCAAAAAGCACCTGTAGATGAGTGAATAAATTTCAAACTGAACAACAGTATTTAAAATCTTTTCAATAGCGAGGAAAAGTTAAAATACCTTCCATCATATAAGCAGCACTAAAAGAAATCTTACCTTGTATGTAAATCCAGTAGTAACAAATAGTAGTTTTGTTATGCATCGAATAGGTGACAATAGATTGTCAATTAGTCTATCGGAAGTTAGATGGGAGTTTAAATCTTAGTTCAATTTACACCTTACTGTGCACACTGAGCTTTTTGTTGTGTTTTGGAAAGAAGGTCATTGGCTCTTCACCTTTGGTAGTGCTATTGCAGATGGAAGTGGAGGAGATTTTACTTCCACACAAAGATAAGGGCACAAAGTATTGTTGTGAACTCCTCACTTTTTTGAACAGATCTGCACATCTAGTTAATGTTCTAGATTGTTTGTTTCTTTTTGATTTTATTTTTCTCTTGTGGTTTTTGTGTGGTGTCTGTCATGAATCTGCTGTCATGTAGGAAGAAGGCAGAAATTCCTTAGAGGAAACTGTCTTGAGCAAGGGCCAGCTTGTAGTTTAATTTGTGATTGAGACTCCCAAGCATAATCTGGCTTTGATTACTCAAAAGGAAAGCAGAAATGAGATCGAGTTTCCTGCCAGAGGTGTAGACTTGCAGCCTGTTCCTTCTTTTACTTTGTGGCATACCATCATAAATCATGTGTGAGAAGAGGACATCTTTCCAATTGCTGCATTTAGATGAGTGCCATATTGCCAAGCAAGAGCAGTTTTACTGGATGCATATACCGTAGTTCAAAAAGTAGGTGGCTCATTGTGCTTTTGGTGCTGGTTGCCATGGTCTTCTGATGAAGAAAGTACTTTCCTTATGCCTCCATTCCTCTCTCTAGTGAGTAGTTCTATATATTTGTGTGTGAAGGAGGAAGCAACGATCATGACTTTACTGGCATTGTCCTAAATTGGTGTTAATGCGCAGCACCATTTTGGGCCACTTTGGTTCGACTGATGTATGTGAACTACAGATTTTTGAACTTCCTCTAAGTTTTCCTGAGCTTTTTCTCAGGAATACGGGTTTGCCTTTAGTAAGCCCAGTGAGATACAGTCTTATTTTAGTTTAGCCATTAAGTGGTCCTTCAAGACAGTAGAAAACAAAATATCTGGGAGGATAAGTCCTTAAGTCTCTTCAGTGTGTATTTTTGTCCCTTCAAGATTCATCTGAGTAAATCTGCTTCCTCACAGCTGGGGTGATTGTGTTGCAGCAACCTTTTACAGTCATCCAAAATACTGAGTGCACCAACTGTGCAGAGCAATCAGTTTTCTGATTATTATTTAATGATTTTGCCCTTAAAAGTTTTTGGTTTACCTAGTCCACAAGAGATGCTATAGAAATTTGTAGAAAAGGAAGTTCTTCCCTGCTAGCTGGGAGTTCTGAAAGTGTGTTTCTCTGTATGTGTGAATGTATGTGCAGATGGGTGGTTAAATGTGCACAGTGTGAGTCTATGCTATGCTTGGAATGGAATTTGGAGCACCGTGTGCTTTGTACATTTGGAGATCTGTTAGGAGTTTCTCTGAAGCAGCACCCGAGTACAAGGGCAGAAAAGCAGTTGATCTCTTGTGTACTGTGAGAAGGTGGGTTGGGGTGAGCAGGAAGGTGGTAATTTCTTCCTTCCTGGAACCTTCAGACGCTTAGTGACTAGAGAGTCAGTGAACTTGATAGCCTTAGAGCACTGCAAAATGGTTGGAGAGAGCAAAGATATTTTTCTTACAACCTTTTACAATTAATTTTTTTTTTGTTAAAACATTTGTCTTTAATTTCTTATTCATCTTCCCAATTTCTCCCCGGTAGAAAAAGAAAGGCAGGATTTCTTGCTGCTAATTCACAGAAACTTCACCCAGGCCCATGTTTTAATAGTGTATGAATAGTAGAGGACACGGGGGTTCCTCCATCATAAGAAAACACAGGATGACAGAACAGCAATTTAAATTTGTTGAAGGGCATTTTCAAGATACATGTTTACTCAGTCATAATAGGTTGTTCTTCAGCACATTCTGTGTAATTCACTTCAAGGTGTATAGATGAAAAGACTGTAGAAAGCACGTACGTGCATACGCTTCTCTAAGTGCAGGAACATGGACCAGTGCTTATGAATAGATGTACAGGACAAAACCATGTTTTCTGAAATAATGTGTTGGAACCTCTTGACCACTTTTGTCAATCTCCACTTTCAGTTTCTTTTGTGACCACAAATAATTTCTTAGCTCAGAAATGTAGATTCTCTGTCCGAGTGTCACCACAGATGGCAAACAGAATGGTGGAATCTGCAAGGGGCATCCTAAATAAATTCCTCCCAGACATCTATATCTGCACAGATCATATGAAGGGGGTCAGCTCTGGAAAGTGAGTATCCAGTATTCACAGGGAACAGACGTAATTCTGCATTTGTTCATGTGGTAGGGTGTTCTGATCTGTAAATCTTTTGAGTTTTAGATCACAGTCTTCTGTTTGCTGACTTGAAATAAATATTCCTCACAAGGAAAAAATGAAATTATTCACTAGATGCATTTCTTTTACTCATGTAACAGGGATAGAAGTGTGGTTTTTTTAAACAAGGAATGGAGTGCATCATTACTGCCACCTAAAGGCAACTTGAGCTCTCTTCATTTTTAAATCCTTGACTTTGAAGTGAGATTAAGATCAGAGGTGCCATGGCACATTGAGGAAACCAACATTCAGACTTAATTGTACACCTTCTGATGGAAATGGTAGCATTGAGGATGGGACTGAACTGTTTTAAGGAAGTATTGGAGCAGTGTGGGTTGTCTTCTGGTGAATAGCTGCAAGAATGTCTTTTCACCAGTGAGGACAGGAAAATTAATTTACTGTACTTCTACAAATTTTGTTTGCCATCAAAACACAAAAGTGATGGATGTGATCTAGACAATTTTACTGGTATCTGTCAGCTCTGTTATCCTCTTGTCACTCTTCACTGAAGTTGAAAGAGTTCTGGATAACTCATTTGTTTGTCTTTTGTCTGTATGCTCAAATGCAGGGATGCATATTTTCTTTCACTGTTTCTGCTTTTTGAAATATTACCTTAAAACTTGTTAGGGTCAGAAGTTTAGAAACCTAGAAATTGTTGACTCATTTTAAAGTATTTCTCCTCTTTTCTAGTCCTTTCTCTTATTTAATATCCCAGATTTGTAACTCTTGTGTCTCCAGGCTGTCAACAGTTACCAGAATTGCAGAAACTTTGCTGGGAGCTGTGTGTTTTTGGGGTCCCATTTTTTTTTTAATCTGTCTATAAAATTAAAAAGTCAAATTAACTGAGACAGCAGCATTTTGTTTACTACATGTGGGCCGTGCAGAGGGATAAATAATAGCATGGGAAGAGGAACTGAATCCCTTTCCACCTGGCTGGCACATGTGGGTTTCTGATGCTGCTGTGCTGTCACATTGATCACAGGTATGATTTCAGTACGACTGCAGTACCCCTGATACTAGGTAATTGGTCTAATCTTGCTAAGTATTGAAGCTTTCAGGGAAAGAGCTCAAGCCCCAAAGAAAGGTGGTTTTGTTTTTGAATGTCACAGTGAAGAAACAGCAGATATCTTTGAAATGTTCAGCAAACATGAGTTAAATTAATGTGAAAGATAACCTCCTCTTTTTTAAAAAAAATTCATTTCTGATGTTTGGATGGCTTTTTCTTTTCTTTTTCTTTTTTCCTTTTGAAAGAGTTTGTCCCAGGAGTAGCCAGCATAGAGATTTTGCAGCAAGTGGTACTTGATTCAACTTTTAAGTACTGCTGTTAATTTTTTTTTCCCCAGAGTGAATCTAATGTATCGACCAGGAAATTTGCCATCAAGTCCAGATTCCCAGTATTGCCCTAGGAGAGGAGCTGTTTGTGACTTAAAGAAGAGGTTGGCTGGGAGTAGTTCTTGGCCCATTGCTTGATTTTTGTCCTTAAATCAAATGCACTTTTTCCCTTTCTTTCAGATCACCAGGTTTTGGCATGTGTCTTACTGCAGAAACCATCAATGGCACTATTCTCAGCGCTGAGCTAGCCTCAAACCCTCAGGGCCAGGGCGCAGCTGTGCTTCCCGAGGAACTGGGCCAGAATTGTGCTAAGCTGTTGCTTGAGGAGATCTACAGGGTAAGTGGCCAGTGTTTTGTGTCTACAGCTGTAGGGGGAGGAGGTGATGAAATTGGTAAAGGAAGAGGTGTCTTGGAGGCACCCTCAGACAGGCTCAGATCCAAACAAAGAAATGATCTGATGCTGCCAATGTCTTCTTCATCCAGGTAAAGAGTGGGTTTGAATGGTTCCTTTAACAGGGTGCTTTTTAAAGGCCATGTTATTTCCAATGTCCAAGAGATGTTACTGTGAATCATAGTAATGGCAGATTTTTCTTTTTTTGCTTTCTGCCTACAACAGAATTCAGTCAACTTCATGTGGGCTTTTAGAGGTTTTTTAAGAAGTTGGATGGGGAATATAGTCAATGCTTCTAAACTAGCAGTTGGAATGGAGCATTATGAGTGGGAGAACACACAAGAGAGAAGAAGAGGAAAAAAAACTAGCAGGCTTCTGTGTTGACCACTTTGTGATGATGATGACAAAGTCAAATGTGCTGAGATCTGTTGGTTGTATGGCTTGTTGGAAAGCAGCTAGGACAGTGTTTGCTTAAGAATCTTAAGTGCATCACAGTTTTTCACAGCATTTTCATTTTTTAATTACTAAAATGATTTTCATTTGTGGCAAGACTTATAGTGGAAGAGCAGTTTTCAGTCTTTCAAATGATTTGGCAAATAGCACACTGGTGAGTTTCTGATTTAATAAAGAACCTACCTGCTGCTTTTGTTTCATACCTTCACAAATGTTAAAATAACTAGTTTTTAGTATTGACATAACACATTTGGCCTTTAGGAGGCAGTCATCTACAAATAATATTCACTGTTTAAAAAAAAAAAAGTAGTTGCTCTGGACTGTAATAAGCTGAGAGGACTTTGCAAAGGGTTAAAAATGCCATTATTGAGATTCTGTATTAGGGCATGTAGTCAATGATAAAAATGCCCCTCAACCTTATAAATCACATCCATACCTGTAGTAGTTTGTTTATCCATGACCATATTATCTTTTCCCTTATGCAAATTCGTCATCTATTTGAATTACCAACTTGCCCCTTGTTTCAGTCTTCCATTAATATTTTGTCTTTGTTTATTCAGTATATGCACCGTGTTGCTAGAGGACTTTCTCTTTGTAGCCCAGAGTTCTTATCTCATAGAAATACCACCAATAAATATTCTCCCTGTGTTCCTGGGTACTGTCTAGGCCCCTTGTACTTCAAAGTGCATATATGGAGAATAGTCACAACTAGTGACTGAAGCATCTGTCTGTTTCTACATGTAGTGTCAGGTAGCTATTTTTATTTGAGGGGGGAATTGTAAAATCTTTCAGTTTCCTTCCCCCCTCCCTGAAAAAGAAAAAAACAAACAATAACCCCCAAACTGAAAAAAAAACCCACCCAACCTAAACTAAAATCTGGTGTATTTGTTGCTTTGTATAAATGTTTTGGAAAACATCCTCAGGCAGTCAGATGTTTGGAGACATCAAAAATCCAATTTTCAGATACTTTTATCAGCAGCAAGAAGTATCTTTTCCTTTAAAAACCATCCAGCACTTGACAGATTGAAACTAGTGAGGAAATTTGTCCAGATATTATGCTTTGTTTGGAGTCAGATATCAGAGAACTTCTGAAATGAAAATTTCAAGATGGAAAGGCTTGAACTAGGTAACTTTCTGCTTCAGTGTGCTGCAGCCATTTGAATGTGCTGAGTCAAATTTTGCAAAGGATAGAGAAGATCTCAAGGCAAGAAAAAAGTGTTTGAGGAGGAAACAGGGTCAGGCAAGTCTTTGAATGAAAAAGTAATAGGCTGTGAGGATTCAATGTCTTTGAGGATCAGATCCTCTGCAAGTGAGGATGTTGGCTGTGGCCTGCTATGGTACTGCTGGTGCTCCTGGAGGACTCTTTTATGTGTGGGCCACTTGAGTCCAAAAGTAACTGACAAAGAGTTGAGCAGTGTACAGACTGCTGTCCTCCACTACAGCAGCTCACTGTGGAAAAGCTCTTGTTAGCATTCTATTAGCTAAGTGTGCTGCTTATCCACTGGATAAGCTCAGTCCTTATTTAGTGAATTCTTCACTCCCTCTGTCATAGGCAATATGGTGGGTTTTGTTATGTAGTTTTCAAAATACGCACTTGAATTTATATATGATACACATGGTCATGTAGCGCTAGCCTGATATTTGGGAAGATGTAGTTTCTTTCTCATTTTCTCTCTCATGTACTTTTTGGGTTGGTTGGTTGGTTGGTTTGGTTTTTGTTTTGGGGTGGGCTTTTTTTTGGTGTTTGGTTTTTGAAGGTTTGGTTTGGTTTTTGGAGGTTTTTTTGGTTAGGTCAGTTGAATCTAGTGTTGACCCCAGAGAGGATATAAAAACTTCTTGCAGTGTGTGCAGTGTTTGTTTAGTTTGAATATACCTTCTTTGTTTCCCTATGTTTCTTTGCCTAGGTAGAATGTTTAATGAAACTAAAAATTTGGGAAAGCAAGAACGGATTGCTCTGGACAGGCAGTCTTTAAGTCCCACTCTCTTTACATGACCTACTCACTGAATACAGGGCTCAAGGGAGAATTTCTTTTCCTGGGTTTAGATCTCCTTGTTATGGGATTGTTTCTCCATCTGTGTTTTTGCCTGTAGGTACTGTGCTGCAGGAGCTAGGGAGGGTTGACCAGAGAAGGGCATCCTAAGAGCACTGTAAAAGGGCTTTGACTTCTCTGTAAAAGGGCTTTGGCTGTTCAGGTCACCCACAAATCTGCTGGAGTTCATTACTGTTTAAAGGAGCCCAGGGACATTTCATAAAGTGCTTGCTTTACCTAGGAAATCTAAGAATTTGAGCCTTGAAACATTACGTGCTAAATGGTCTTTTTACTAAGCCTTAAAAAAGAAATGAAAGAGTTTGTATGATTTTTGGAATTGTGAAGCTTTTTTTATGCACATTTGTTCATGAAAGATGTCAGAGCTAATTGACTGCTAATAAACAGAACAGTGCTAATTGCAGTGACTCTGTGAGAGAGGGCATGGAGTGACTGACTAGCCTCGTCATTACAAATCCATATGCAATTCTCTCTGAACCTTAATTGTAGAAGGCCAATGAGGATTTTAACTCTTGTCTTTGAAAGGCATTGTTTATGGGAGCTTTATATAGCAAGCGATTGGAAATTGCAAATGGAATGGCCTGGAAGAACTGGAAAAGGATTTAATTCTTATATTCCTTGCAATCATGAAAAATAGGAGAGGCTGCAATACTTGTTTCAGGCTGAACTCTTTAATGAAGAAGGGCCGAGTTGTTAGGGGACCTTGGAGAGGCAGGAGGGCTAAGGATGTTGCTTTTATTGAACTAGAGCTAAAATGAGTGAAGGATTTCACTGAAGGCTTAATTTTCCAGATGGCCTTACTTCAGTTTGGCAAGAATCTACTCTATTTTTCCAGAGAGAAAAAAAAACAAAAACCAAGACACAAACCCTCTGCAATAATTTTTACCCTTTTGTAAGAAATTCTTGAGGCATGCAAATATGTACCACACAGGTAAGGGAGGAAATTGTGTGTATGCCAAAATATAACTGACACTAAATCAAAGGTCAGAAGAATAATCCTTTTTGAAACACTGTTGTCCAATAACCAGCGCTGTGGTATATATATATATATATATGTACATATCAGTTGTGAATTTATATAACAACATTTCAAAATGGATGGGATTTTAATGATTTGTGTCTAATTGTCACATCTAGCCAGATTTGGCTCTGTTGTCAATAGAAACAATAATGGAGAAACTGCCATAGACTGAGTTAATAGAGCCTAGAAGCTGCATCCTAGATTGGTAACGAGTGCCAGATGTTTTGGAACAAATGTACTTTGGCTCCGACTTTGCCCATCCCATTTCTCTTGGGAGGGTTGTTTTTGATTTTGGATGCTTGAGTAAGTGGCAGCTGGATTGAGGAAAAAAAAAATTTGGCCTTCTTGGGAGTGTGAAGTCCTTCATTTGGCAGAAGTTACTGTTCTGTCATTAGATTACAAGCAATTGCTTAATTTTGATGTCTGGCAACTCATTATGTGGGAATGGTGTTGCAAATGAGTGGTTTAGGTCACTTAAATCATCAGGAAAGGTGATTTATAAAGAAGGCTTTATATCAATTTGTTGAAGTGCAACAAAGTTTGATGGCAAGGTTTACTCTGTTGCGTACTACAAAGATGAAGTGCACAAAGGAAAATTGGATTAGAATCAATCTACAATGATTTACGTGGAGAGCAGGGATGCAAAAGGTAAGGATGGAAAAGGATAAGAGAGATCCTCCCTTTGGGTCATGATAGTAGACCCCTTGCCAAACTAGCCTCAGATTTGATCAGTGGTTTATGTCTAAAGGATACAGCAGCATTTATTCATTGACTACCAGGATGCTGACAGAATCAAATGCCTCTATGAAGTGCCTTTACAGCAGTGCACGCAGTATGGGGAACAAACAGGAGGAACTAGAGAGCTGCATGCCCTCACAGGGCTTTGATCTCATTGCAGTTACAGAGACATGGTGGGAAGGGTGTCATGAAGGGCTATATACACTGCTTTGGAGAGACAGACCAGGAAGGCCCTCTGTGTAAGCTCTGTCTTGGGGTGGGTGATGAGCAAGTAATGAGCTTATGAGTTAGGATAAAAGTAGACATTTTTGTGAGCATTTGCTACAGGCTCCCTGATCAGAGGGAGAAAACAGATGAGGCCTTCTACAGGCAGCTTGAAGTCCCCCATAAGAACATGGGGTTAAGTCCCCATAAGTGCCTGTGACTTGAGACTGCTTCAAGCTCAGTGAAATACATCAGGTGCCTTTGCACCTCTCAGTGAGTGAAGGGTTCAGTCTTGAGGAGTAAGAGTATCAGCCCAGGTCTCATCAGCAGCTTTTGGTGATTGTCTTCCAAGTATCACAAACTTGAGGGTTGGCAAGCTTTGAGAGGCATACCATTGAGAGGGAGGTGCTGGTGCAGACTGCTGTGGCCCATGAGAGCTCAAAGAGCCTCACTTAGGACTGCTGCTTATAGGGTTGTGAGATGCTTGGCTTTCATCTTCTGTCACTCTCCAACCTTGCCAACATCTGGGTTGATTGTCACTGAAATTTTCCTCAAAAGGTGCAGTAACAATAATATCATTCCACCTGGGCTGTAATTTAGACAAAAATAATATTCCAAGGCTGTCTGTTAGACGACAGCAGTTCGGTAGGCAACAGAAAATCCTAGGAACAGGCAGGTTTTCTGATAAACTCAAGAGGAGCTTAACTGCCTAGGAGCCATTAATCAAGGTCAAGGTCTAATGAGAAATCCTGAGGACATTGTAGAGTGGCCCAAAGGTGGAGAGGGGATGTACCACCACAAATGGGCATAACAGCACATTCCTTTTGCACAAAAAAACTGGTGATGACTGACTCATTGCAGCAACAGAGCTTATGTAAGCAGCTAGGATGTGATGGATGCACTGTGTTTTGATATATTGTTTAGGACACGATTGTCTCCATGCTGATGGAAGCTTTTACATAGATTTGGTCACAAAAGTAGATGTTTTATAATGTTTACAGATTTAGAAAAACAAAAAACAAGCTCAGAAAATTTAGTTTTTGTCCAAGTAATAAGGAGCATTTTGAATTATTAACCGAGCTACAAATACAAGAAAGTCCAGTGTCAGGAATACTCCCTATGAAACTCATCTGCTTCTTGTTTCAGATTGGCAAATACATAAAGTGCTGCAGTTCATGGTATCTTCAGAGGCATATGAACTATAATTAATACCTCTTTTAAATTTACTGCAAGGAAGTTCTTCAGTGTTTACCTTCTGTGATGTTGAAAGAGATTAGGAGGGATGGGAGGAATGTTTAATGTGACCTTGTTCTGGGTTTGTTTTAATTCTGTTCCTTTCCCAGCCTGCCATGTGAAATTAGTTTGCCATTGTTACAAAATCTAGATTTCTATCTTCTTGGCCCTTGAAAATTGGGACTGATACTTCAGCCTTTTAAGTGTATCTTTTTCCTTTATTACTCTCCTCCCATCCCAATTTCTGGTTTGTACAGAAATTAATTATTAAAACATTTTGGTTTGCAGGGAGGCTGTGTAGATTCAACAAATCAGAGCCTTGCTCTGCTTCTTATGACCCTTGGACAACGGGATGTTTCCAAAGTCCTGTTAGGACCTCTCTCTCCATACACGTAAGTTGTTTTGTTCAGTTTAATTAATCAGTCTTGTTTTAATTCACTAGTTTTATTGCACAGCTATTTTTATATATAAAAGACTTTGCTTGTGGTTATGAATAGAACAACTTGTACCTGACTTCAAATGAGACAAGTGGCGTAAGTTACCTAGAGTTTATTTCTACATGTTAGATGATTATTCCCTTACTGTTCTATATTATTTCTGTTTCTGAGAATTGCAGAGACGGAGTTTATTGATGGTTGTTGACCTGGATTATATGTGTACATCAGTTTGCTTTTGTTGCCTAGTGTACACTAGTGTGTTTTCCTAGTGATCTCTCTGTAGCTGTGTCATTAAATGTCATATTTCAAATGGCTAACCAAATTCTAAAGCTGTGATTGTCCATAAGAAACAGCTGAAAACTTTAATGCATGGAGCTATGTGCTACTTCAAAGTTTTACCCCTCTTGGGCAGCAGACTTCTATCTAGTCATTCAGTCTCAGTTTTTATTAAAGCTTTGTCTGCTGCTGGTAGTTGTTCAGAGGAGAGAAAAAGACTAAATTTCTTACATAGCTAGTTGTAAACACAGGTTACAGAATCACAGAATCATCAAGGTTGGAAAAGACCTCCAAGATCAAGTCCAACCTTTGAGTGAACACCACCTTACCACCATAGTGCCACATCCAGTCATTTCTTGAACATTTCCAGGGATGGTGACTCCACCACCTCCCTGGGCAGTCTGTTCCAGTGCTTAATAACCCTTTCAGTGAAGAAATTCTTTCAGATATCCAAACTGAGGCCATTTCCTCTCATCCTGTTACTAGTTGCCTGGGAGAAGAGACTGGGCCCTACCTGACTATAACCTCCTTTCAGGTAGTTGTAAAGAGCAATAAGGTCTCACCTGAGCCTCCTTTTCTCCAGGCTAAACAACATCAGCTTCTTCAGCCATTCTTCATATAATTTACTCTCTAAATGCTTCACCAGCTTTGTTGCCCTTCTCTGGAAATGCTCCAGCACCTGCATGTCTTTCTTGTAGTGAGAGCCCCAGAACTGAACACAGGATTTGAAGTGAGCCTCACCAGTGCCGAGGACAGGGGGATGATCACTGCCCTAGTCCTGCTGGCCACACTATTGCTGACACAGGCCAGGATGACATTGGCCTCCTTGGCCACCTGGGCACACTGCTGGATCATATACAGCTGCTGTCAACCAGCACCCCCAGGTCCTTTTCCACCAGGCAGCTTTCCTGCTACTATGTCCCCAGCCTGTAGAGCTGCCTGGGGTTGTTGTAACCCAAGTGCAGGACCAGGCACTTGGCCTTGTTGAACCTCATACCGCTGGCCCTGGCCCATTGATCCAGCCCATTCAGAACCCTCTGCAGAGCCTTCCAGTGCTCCCACTCAACTTGGTGTTGTCTGCACACTGACCAAGCCTGTACTCAATCCCCTCATCCAGGTCATTGACGAAGATATTAAATAGAAGTGCCCCCAGTCCTGAGCCCTGGGGAACACCACTGGTGACCGCCCACCAGCTGGATGTGGCACCATTCACCACTACTCTCCGGGCCTGGACATCCAGACAGTTTTTTACCCAGCGAAGAGTGTACCTGTCCAGGCCATGGGCTGTTAGTGTAGTTCCCTTAATCTTCCTTCTGACTCTTCTAATAGATGGGCATCACACTGGCTGACCTCCAGTCCTCCGGGACCTACCCGGTTAGCCAGGTCTGATGATACGTGATAGAGAGTCTCATCCCATTTGACTCCATAGACATATGAGTGTCCAAGTGGAACAGTAGGTCACTAAAGGCTTCCTCCTGGATTACAGGGAAGCTATTCTGCTACTAGTCTGCTCTCCTCTGGTTGCTCTGAGGATAACTGATCTTCCCATTAAAGACTGAGGCAAAGAAGGCATTAAGTACTTTAGCGTTTTCCTCATTAGAGATCATAGTGTTCCACTCTGCATCCAGTAAAGGATGGAGAATTTCTTTGGCCCTCCTTTTCTCATTAATGTAATTATAAAAACACATTTTATTATCTTTCACAGAAGTGGCCAGATTGAGTTCTAGCAGAAACTGTTTAGGGAAAGAGCATCCAGTATCAAAAATTTAATTTGCTTTATCAGACTTGCAAGTGATACTAGATCACAATTATTCCTAGAGACTGAGCAGTTTTTCTTAGTCAAATGAAGGGTGGTTTGTTTATCTGACAATGGCATCAAATAATAAGACTATGAACTGTCCTTTTTCGGTTATCATGGTACCGGTGCTGTATACGTGAAAGGTACAGTACTGTGATAACTGAAGAATGGTGGTGCCATCACATGAGACCTAGAAATTGCCTAACTGCTCTTCTCAACCTCTGATACCTTGGAAGCAACATTCATCAGATTTTGAGGGGAAGACAGGGAAGTGTCCCATTGCACAGAGGTGAAGTAATCTCCTGTAAAGTAAGTATTCATGTGAAAGGCTTACAAAGAGTAGGTATTAGTGTTTTAAGTGCACAGTTAGGCATGTGAAACAATTCAATCACTTGTCATTGTCCAGTCTTTTTTATTTTTTAAAACTTTTTTTTTGTTGTGCTATGAAAATCAAGCAAACCCAGTAGTTTATTTTGTAAGTGGGCTGATTTCAAATTGGTGGGTCGTCACTTCTTCCAAGCTAGATATGTGTGGCAGGGATAAATGTCAGGAACACTCATGCTGGAGCAGCAAGTCATAAAATCTGTGATTCTGTGAGAATGTGACTCATCAGTCCTTTGAGCATCTACGCAGAGAGAACACAGCTTTCTATGCAGCACCCCCATGCCATCGCTAAGGCTGCTTATAAAGGGCTGTTAAATTTGGCTCCCGAGCAACTCATCAGATGCACAAGCTTATGAAGTACATTGTAGTACTGTCACGTTCCCTAATGTTGTCTCTTCTTTCCTCTCTTGGTGCTATGACATCTCTGCATTTAACTCTCCCACAGTGCAGAATCTGAAGCTATTTAAAAGCCCTGTTATGCTAGATTGGCTTCCCTATCTACCACACTGTAGCATGTAGCTCTCAGCTACAGTTGAGAGCACCCCATGGGTACATGGTGCTTTGGAATATGGCATCAGAATGAGGAAATTTCTCCCAGATTTGTGTGTTTTCATAGAAGCATCCTTTGCCCCAGCTAATGGTGGGGAGCGGAAGGGCAGGCAACACCTTGAATAGGCTGTCCTGAGTGGCACTGGGGATACCTGTCCCAGAAAGACCACTTGGCCAGTGGCCATCTGCATTATCCTTTTCTTATCATTCAGATTTCACAGAAGTAAGTGCCTCTGTCAAGCTGAGCTTAAAATCAAATGCAGTGTGCTGGCTCTGCCACTGACTCAGAGGTCAGTCTGGCAGGACAGACCTGTCTGCATGCAGGTGGATTGGCATTAGGCAGGTGTTTGTGAAGGACAGCAACAGGAAAGCCTGAGGAGTGCCCCTGAGTGCCCCAACCCTTGGCTTTGCAAGGGCTTAGGGGCTTCAAGGGGAGGGGTCAGGGTGCCTCTGCCCAGCCAGGCTGACACTTTCAGTTGTCCCCCTGCCTGGCAATGCCCTCCTCCAGCTCCTTGGGCTGTCTTCTCCCAGGAAGGTATCTGTCAGTACTCCAGGGAGCAGTGCTGGGGCTGCTGGTGCTGCCAGGCAGAGCACTGTGCAACTCCTGGGGCAGTTGAACCAGGGAGGCATTGCTGGTGCACAGGTCTTCTTTCACACTGGTCTGTGAGTTGGTTGCTTTGCCCTGACACATGAAGTGGTTGTGTATCTTGTGGTGTTCCTTGGCAGGCTTTGGGGAAAAGACAGCACTTAGATAAACAGACTTTTTATTCTTTTTTTCTTACTTTGGTTTGGTTTGGTTTGGTTTGGTTGTTGTTATTGGCCATAAGGAAAACCTCCAGTGTGGCTCATGTATCTGTCCCTGGGCCAAAGGTGCAGTGTTCAGCTCTGCCTTGTTCTTGCCTGAACACACAGTCTAAATTTTCAGCAAAATAAACCTTCTGTGTATCTTCCACCCCCTCTCTCAGTCTTCTAGTCTGTGCTTGTGTGTTTGGTGCAGCCTGCACTATTATTTGAGGTGCCCACACGTGATCCAGATCAACATCAAAGCTTTTACAAACCTGCTTTCTGCTGCGCTTCTGTCATGTACCTCTACCTTCCCCCCTCTTTCTCTCCTATTTCTAGGGCTCTTACCACTTGTGCTTCTACTGCTACAAGACAAAGCTGGCTTTGTGCTGCTTCCAGATTCTCCTCTGGTGTCCCCAGGTAGCCTCCCCTTCAATTCCACTCCACTGAGCCTTTCCCATTTACATGGGGGCTGATATGTGTTTTCTCACTCTGCCTTCATTGAAAAGGGAGAAGAAGCAGAGATACATGATAGCCCACCTATGTGCAAAGAGAAGTATGGACTCAGCTGATCCCACCATCATGTTGCAAAGTTTGTTCATCAGCTTTTAGGGTTTTTCTCTGAGCCTCTGGCTCCACACTGCATTTCATTTGTACAGTTTATTCTGTGCTCTCCTTGCAGTTCAGCATGTCACTCCTGCTGTTTTACACTTGGCTGCTTTCTTGTCATACTGCCAGAGGACCGAGCTAAGAACAACACTGGTACAGAGCTTGTTGCCTGTCAGCTTTACTGAAGCATTTGTGCCAGCATATACCCATTTGCTTATTATAGCTGCAACAAGAAACCTAGCGGTTGGGGAGGCATGGAAGAAAAGGTGTTCCTTGTTTCTTTCTTTCAACTGTTAAATCCATTTGAGAGATGAGAGAGTTGGTATCTATGCTGAGGCAAGTTACCAGCCTGGAAAGGTGCAACAGAAATGTGTACATAGCTTTGGGAGCCATGTGCCCACATTCACCCTGTGGAGGCATTCAGGAGACTGCCCCAGAGATAACTCTTAAGTCAGATCATCCCAAGCACAGACCAGTATAGGTAAAGCAGCCTCTTATTGTCTGGCTCCTGCCATTTCCCTCCTCTCCCCATGCGTCTGAGCACAGGAACATCAGCATGCCCAGCTGAAGTGGATAAGGCAATTTTTGCTCCCATGACTTTCACTATGCTTATTCACAGTTTCTCTGAACAGGAGCTGCCAGGAGGCTTTCAGAGGCCTCACGATGTCACTGTGGGGACTGTCCTATCCTCTTGGTCTCCTTCTGTGGGTACTTTCTCTTGATTTGTTGTAATGATGTATGTGTGATTAGTTTGCAATTATGCTTTCAGCATGCAGAGCAGAGGCTTTTTTCAGACTACCAGACAAGCAGATGTGTGAACTGGATCCCATTTCTTTAAAGCTTAAACTTAAACTAGAAAAGCTCATACCAATTGCTGGAGGAGATTAAACCTTAGTTGAAGACTGCAGACCTACTTGTGGCCATGACTGAGACAGAGACCAAACCTTTGTTAGGAACAATTACAAATTTTGTATTTGTAGTCTTTTGGTGTAATTGTTTATTCCCTGTTTTGGAGAAGCCAGTAGAAATGTTTTCTTGCCATTTTTGTTTTATTTTTCTAATAGTTTTTCCTGTCACTTGTTCTGCAGTCAGTGGTGTTTAGGAGCACTGTGTCTGTTTAATTTCTTCATGCCTTTCTTTCTCAAATGATGAAAGGAAAATTAGTTCTGGTTTTTTGTTGGATTTTTGTTGTGTGGGGTTTTTTAATGGGAAAACAGGAAGAAAATGTGATTTTAATGGAACATTTAACTAAGAAGAAGTGAACAAGTTAGTAATACAAATCAAACACATGCTTTAGGATCTCTCTTCTTAAAGTATGCTCCCAGCCTTCTGGCTGTCCCTGTTTTGCTTTTATTTCTGCTTTAAACATTGGGAAGGGGAATGGAGTACCACTGGTTGGTATGGGATTCATATAGCCCTGATGGAGAGTCAGCATCATGAGTAAATGACCTTGCCTGGCTACATTTCTCTCTTTTTTCTTCCCTCACTGTTTTATCTTGCTGTGTTACCAGGCATTCCTCTCTCTGCTTATAACAAAGAGTGCAGTGGTTTCAGTAGGGGTCACTAGCCACTTCACAGCACAAATGAGAAGTGTCTGGAGCCTGTAGGCTTCTTTCTCTTTACTGAGCAAAGCTTTTGTGTTTCATTCACCATGTTCATTGCTGGGATCAGTACATACTGCTAATGGGCTTTCGGTTTAATTTCTTAAACTATGTTACTTTCTCTCTCTCAGAATTGAGTTTCTGCGACACCTGAGAAGCTTCTTCCAGATCATGTTTAAAATTGAAACAAAGACCCCTGAGGAAGAGCACGTGGGCGGCGAGAAAGTCTTAATGACCTGTGTCGGCATTGGATTTTCCAACCTTAGTAAAACTATAAGATAAAAAACATCTGCAGACTTCATAAAAGACAGAAAATGGTGCAAAGATCTAAAAAAACCCTACCTGTCTCTATATTTATTCTGGCATAGGAAAACCTGTGATGATTCCAGTGCAGAGGTACCCAAGCTTGCTGCATGTAAACAGTAAAGCTGACTTTAGGCTATTTAGACCTGTGCTATTTATAAATGCAATGCCAGGACTCTGTCCTGCATTGAGTGGCTGTCTGGAGTGTCAGCTGGCTTAGGACTCTTTGCACTGTAATCCACTGAATGGGACACAAGTGCCTCATGTCACTGTGCCCTCAAACCGTAATGAGGTGGGTGGTCTGGTTTTGTGAACCTACTGATTTCACTCTTAGCTTTTTCTGAAAGCTTTGGGTAGAAAGGGAAAACAAAATTAACCAAAACAGGCTTTGTGGTGCAAAACAAATGATCGCAACAGAAATATTAAATTCTTGAGGTAATTGCAGAAATAATATTGGCATGGAAATAAAAGTAAACATGTGACAATAATTCTTTGTTCATACATTGCACATATATAGAATTTGTCAGACGCTTCACTCCTGCTTACGTTGACTAAGTTGCAGTTTCACAGGAAGAATAAAATAGCTGTCTTTTATTTTTCCTTAATGTTAGAATACTGCAGAAGAGATCACAGCCTATACTGATTTGTTTTAGCCTACTTTGCGAAGATGGGCATGGGAGGACAGACCACCATGACAGATTTAGGCTTATCACATATATTCTTTTTAGGTTTATTTGCCATACACCACAGCTCACAGTTAGCTGTGAGAGATAGTAAAAGTAGCTGTAGGTTTTGAGGGACAAAAATACATTCAGTTACACCATCATGTTTTGTGCATCTGCTCCCTTTTGAAAGTGGGGATAATTGTGTATGGGCATTACTTGGATTGACAGATACAAAAAAGTTTTCACTGGCATATAAATATTTACGCAGGAAAGGCTTTTGGTAGATTCCAGGCAAACATGCTGAAGTTAATTCTGAATGGACACAAGGAGAGAAATTTGTATTTGACTGCAGACTACACTTAGTGTGTATGGAGTAAAATAATACTGTGTCAAAAGCTGGTATATAGAGAGAGTAAATACTAGGGACTGTGTTATAATGGTCTTACAAACGTTGATACCATTGTAAAGTGGGCATTACCTCTGTAATATGAAAAATGTATATTGGACCCAAAAGAATTTTAATCAAATGCCTAACTTTTTGTCAGTGTTTTGCTAAATATTGCAGGCTGTGGGAGTAATCTTTGTACTGTACTTTGTTCTTGTTGCAATCTGTCAAACATGTTTCGGAAAAATAAAGTATTTTTTTTCCTAAATAAGGTTTTATTTCCCTTTAAAACAAAACAAACAGCAACAAAGACAGAAAGCTTTTCCCCAGTCCTGTAAGATGGCACTTCATAAGATAAATGGCTATTTTGAACTGATACATGAAAAAAGCAGCTTTGGGAATTGCCAGAGTGAAAAGAAGGGAAAGGGTGAAGACTTTCTTACAATTCAGTAGCTTTCCAAAATTTGATTTGCAGCTAAGGAAATCCTAAATAAAACAGTAAAATGTGAAATAAAATAACTTGAGTATATTTTTTAAATTTCAGGTTACATTAGAAAAATATGTAGGCAAGAAAGAATTCACCTTACTCCCTTCTGTCACCTATGCAGTGAAAAAGCTAGAAACTTTAAGAATTAAAATTACCCTGAATACAGGGAGCCACCGATCCAAAAGATAAAATGTACAAGCTAAGAATAATAGCCACTAGAATAAAAATATAAAGCTTACACTGATTAAAGCTAAATGTTTATGGCACAGCTCAGATTTTCAAAATTGCCGTAAGTAAAAACTTCAAAAATCAAAAACTTTATTATCTTTAAACTTAACTTTGAAGCTGCAAGAGTTTTTCTAAATGTTCCACTTGCACCAAACATAGAAAAGGCAATGTATTGCCCAGGTAGCAGATTCTTCAGCAATAATTATGTCATAAATTTATCTGTACTTAACCTCGTTGTTAAAGTCGGACTGCAACCCTTTGCCCTGCTGCAAATTGCATAGGTCTACAGCACAATGTGTGCTGTGACCCAGAATTTGCTTATTGCTTTACAGAGAAAAAGATAGGTATGTGAAACGAAGTTACTTTTCCAGAACAGCCACTCTGGAGAAACAAGAACAATTCCAGAGGAGGTTTTAGGTAAGAGCTTTCTTAAAATTGTTTAGCCGCCATAATCTGGGAGAAGTATTGAGAGGATGGACAAGGGATCAGACCCAGCCAACATGGGTTTAGGAAGGGCAGATCCTGTTTGACCAACCTGATCTCCTTTTACGATCAGGTGACCCACCTGCTGGATGAGGGAAAGGCTGTGGATGTGGTCTATCTGGACTTCAGCAAAGCCTTTGACACTGTCTCCCATAGCATACTCCTGGAAAAGCTGGCAGCCCACAGCTTGGACAGGGGCACTCTGTGCTGGGTCAAGAACTGGCTGGAGGGCCGGGCCCAGAGAGTGCTGGTGAACGGTGCTGCATCCAGTTGGCGGCCGGTCACCAGTGGTGTTCCCCAGGGGTCAGTGCTGGGCCCAGTCCTTTTTAACATCTTTATCAATGATTTAGATGAGGGAGTTGAGTCCATCATCAGCAAATTTGCAGATGACACCAAGTTAGGAGGGAGTGTCAACCTGCCGGAAGGCAGGAGGGCTCTGCAGAGGGATCTGGATAGACTGGAGAGTTGGGCTGACTCCAATGGGATGAAGTTCAACAAGGCCAAGTACCGGGTCCCGCACTTTGGCCACAACAACCCCCTGCAGCGCTACAGGCTGAGCACAGAGTGGCTGGAGAGCAGCCAGGCAGAAAGGGACCTGGGGGTGCTGATCGACAGGACATGAGCCAGCAGTGTGCCCAGGTGGCCAAGAAGGCCAATGGCATCCTGGCCTGGATCAAGAACAGTGTGGCCAGCAGGAGCAGGGAAGTGATCCTTCCCCTGTACTCTGCATTGGTAAGGCCACACCTTGAGTATTGTGTTCAGCTCTGGGCCCCTCAGTTCAGGAAGGATATTGAGGTGCTGGAGCGGGTCCAGAGAAGAGCAACGAGGCTGGTGAAGGGACTTGAGCACAAGTCCTATGAGGAGAGGCTGAGGGAGCTGGGGTTGTTTAGTCTGGAGAAGAGAAGGCTTAGAGGCGACCTCATCACTCTCTTCAGCTACCTGACGGGACGTTATAACCAGGTGGGGGTTGGTCTCTTCTCCCAGGCAACCAACAACAGGACAAGGGGACATGGGCTCAAGCTCTGTCAGGGGAGGTTTAGGTTAGATGTTAGGAAGAAATTCTTTACAGAGAGGGTTATCAGGCATTGGAACGGCCTACCCAGAGAGGTGGTGGATTCACCATCCCTGGAAGTTTTTAAAAAGAGATTGGACGTGGCCCTTAGTGCCATGATATAGTAATTGGAGTTGGATCAGGGGTTGGACTTGATGATCTTGGAGGTCTTTTCCAACCCAATCTATTCTATGATTCTATGATTCTGTGAAATCCTGCAGATAAAAGCTGTTTGTTTATCAGGAGAACAGTAATTAACATCTGTTTTGGTGCACACAAGCAGCAAGATAGTTCAGTTTTAGAGGTGGACAGAGGAAATTAATTTTTGTTGAAAACAATTCACAGTCTTGGTAGCCACAGACTTGATAAGGATGGTAAGGATGATTGTTACTAGGAGACATATCTTTCATCTCAGTCCATCCATAGCAGAGTAATATTCAGATGACTTGAATTTGAAGTGATTAGCTGTACATTAATAATTTTGTACTCTTTGAACTATCCATCAGCGATTTAAACCCTTTGTGTGAACAGCTCTGATCACAGAATCATAGAATGGTTTGGGTTGGAAGGGACCTTAAAGATTATCTAGTTCCACCCTCTCTGACCAGGTTGCTCAAAGCCCCGTCCAGTCTGGTCTTGAACACTTCCAGGGATGGGGCATTCACAACTACTCCAGGCAACCTGTTAGAGCACCTCACCAACTTCACAGTAAAGAATTTCTTCCTAATACCTAATCTAAACATACAGAAGCTTAAAGCCATCCCCCCTTGTCCTGTCACTACATGCCCTTGTAAAAAGATCCCCCCCCAGCTTTCCTGTAGGCTCTGTTAGGTACTAGAAGGTGCTGTAAGGTCTTCCCTTCTCTTCTCCAGGGTGTACAACTGTAACTCTCAGCCTGTCCTCGCCAGCCAGGAGGAGAGGTGCTCCAGCCCTCTGAGCATCACCATGGCCCTCCTCTAGACTTGCTCCAACAGGTCCAGGTCTTACACTGGGGGCTCCAGAGCTGGATGCAGCACTCCAGGTGAGGTCTCAGGAGAGTGAAATAGAGAGGTGGAATCACCTCCCTCAACCTGCTGGTCACACTTCTTGTGATGAAGCACAGGATAATGGTTGACTTTCTTAGCTGTGAGCGCACATAGCTGAGACGTATCAATAGTACCCTAATACCCTGATTTGCGATTACAAACCTTTCTGCTTACAGAAAGCTTTAAGGTTGAATCATACAAAGGACAAGGTATGAGAAGGGACTAATTAAAGAAGTGTTTTGTAATGTGCATTTTAATTGCAAAAATTGTAACATATGGGGAGAGTGTGAAGAACACACAGAAAATTTATTTGGGGGAGAACTAAGCAGAATACCTCATTAAATTGAGAATCTCTTCCTTTAAACTTGCTGTATTGTTTTTGAGTGGCCAAGTTTTGGTAGCAGGAGGCTACCAAAAGCAGGGTAGCAAGGATGGCTTCTGTGATAAGCTGGCAGAAGCTTCCCCCATGCCAGCTGGCTCCAGACCCAATGCCAGCTGGCTCCAGGCTCCAGGGCAGACCCACCACTGGCCAAGGCTGAACCCACCAGTGACACTGGTAGCACCTCTGGGATAACATATTTAAGAAGGAAAAAAAAGAGTTTCTGCAGTTGTAATTGCACTCAAAGAAGAGCAAAGTGAGAATATGTGAGAGGAACAACTATGCAAACACCAAGGTCGGTGGAGATGGAGGAGGTGCTTCAGGCACTGGAGTTGAGATTCACCTGCAGCCTGTGATGAATCCCAGAATCCTTAGGGTTGGAAGGGACCTCTGGAGATCATCCAGTCCAACTCACCTTCCAAGGCAGGGTCACCTAGAGCAGGTGGCATGGGAACATGTCCAGGTGGGTTTCTAATGTCTTCAGAGAGGGACACTCCATGACTTTTCTGGGCAGCCAGTTCCAGGGCTCTGCCACCCTCAATGCAAAGAAGTTCTTCCTCGTGTTGAGGTGAAACATATTGTGTTTTAGTTTAAGGCCATTGCTCCTTGTCCTATCACTGGACACCACTAAAGAGTCTGGCACCATCTTCTTGGCACCTGCCTTTGAGATATTTATGTGCATCAATGAGATCCTCTCTCAATCATCTCTTCTCTAGACTAAACAGGCCCAGCTCCCTCAGTCTCTCCTCATAAAAGAGATGCTGCAGACCCCTAATCATCTTTGTGGCTCTCCACTGGACCCTCTCCAGTAGCTCCTTGTCTGTTTTGTGCTGAGGAGCCCAGAACTGGACACAGTAAAAACCATGGTGAAGCAGGCTGACCCCCTGCAGCCCACGGAGGTCAGTGGGAGTGCAGAGATCTACCTGCAGCCCATGGAGAAGACCCACCCTGGAGCAGATGGATGCCTGAAAAAAGGCTGTGAGCCCATAAGAAGCTTGTGTGGAGCAGGCTCCTGGCAGGGACTTGCCTGGAAAGAGGAACCCAGGTTAGAGCAGGTCTCCTGAAAGGATTTGTGACCCTGTCAAGGACCCACATGGGATCTGGTTGTTCTTGAGGTTCTGTACCCCATGGAAAGGGACCCACATTGGAACAGTTCATGAAGAACTGCAGCCCATGGGAAGGACTCTTGCTGGAGAAGTTTGTGGAGAACTGTCTCCCATGGGACAGGCCTCACTGGAGCAGTGGAAGGAATCGTTTCCCTGAGCAGCAGCAGAAACAACCTGGGATGAACTGACCATAACCCCCATTCCCTGTCTCCCTGCACTGATGGGGGGCAGGGTGTGTTTGTGTGAGTACAGAGCCCAGGAAGGAGGAAGAGTTGGGGGGAAGGTGATTTTAAGATTTGGTTTACTTCTCATTAACCTGCTCTGAGTTTGATTGGTAATAAATTCAATTAATTTCCACAATCGAGCCTGTTTTGCCTGTGATGGTAACTGTTTTATGCTCTTTCCCAGTTCTTAACTCATGAACCTTTCATTATATTTTCCCTCCCTGGTCCAGTTGTGGAGGGGAGTGATAGAGTGGCTCTGATGGGCACCTGGCATCCAGCCAATGT